CTTGTATAATATATAATTATTTAGTACTATAGTACGGAGACATGTTTCGACCCCTCAGATCATCTTCAGGTATCCATAGTTTGCAAATAAAATGTAAGGTTACAAACTTACATTAAAACTATACAATAATAATAATAATATATGATTTTGACATGCTGTAAGACCACACACAATTTGGATACAGAACCTCCTGTTCTCGCTTCTTGCCGTCTTCGTGCAATTTCGTTGATATGTTAATAGTCACACGTCTTTGTGTCTTCTCACTATACAGCAGTACATGTTGCGGCCTAAGTGGCCATCGTCAGGTTATAATTACCACGCTGTTATGCTTTTCATTTTGATGTAAAATGCTTCTAAAATATTGCATTTGAGATTATTTTGATTATCACTCCGAAACATGCAGTGCTGTAGAATAAAGGGACGAATACGTGACTATTAATATACCGACGAAGTTCCATGAAGACGGCGAGGAACATGAACAAGAAACTGAAGACAGTGCAGCATGATGCTGCAGCATAATATTGGATACAGAATTTTGGTATGGAAACCTCNCGACAAATAAATGTGAGATTAACATTACGGCAGTTTTAAGAGAGGTGACTGAGGATAGAACCGGCTCAGGATGATGTCCATTGCTGAAATCCGGTACTAGTGATGCTGAACCTTCAGATTCTGCTAACAAAGCGTTAGTTATAGTACGTTTTCTTCCATATTTTGGCCAATAAATGAACGTCCCCTTTTCCTATTAAGTATCCATAATGGTTCATTGCTTATCTCGAAGTTCAATAAAACCTCTGGAAACCCAGGGGAGCAGAGTGGATGGGGAATCCATCTGGTAAACCTCCATGTCTGTGAGTTAACCAGTGCTCGCAGACCGGGAACTTTAAACCAGTCATGTCACTTCAATCAATCATTATATCGATATGGAATCGATGTATCGATTTTAGATGGCGCCTACGGTTTTTCCGAGGGATATTTTCTAGGAGATGGGAACTTGTTATGTCAACAACATTGACATTTTCTTCGGCAGAATTTTTCAACAAACATTGTTTATCTTATTTCCTTTGTAAAGTTTGCTCTTCTCTCTCTCTCTCCTGCACTTGGACAAGACGGAGTTGAGAAACTTCTGCGGTTCACCATCGTCGAGTAAGACACATGACGAATGTACCCCAACCCTTACGCCGGCAGAACCCCCGCTTCATCCCAGCCTCCCTTATCGTCTCACTCATATCTGAACTTCCTCTCGTCGAAACTTACTTCGAACTTAAGAAAGCGCGTTCCTCTCCGCTATTCGTGACATCACTATAAAAAGGGTCTCAGAGATTAGCGTTTCTATGTTATTAGGACGAATTCTGCCACAAGCACTTCTCTGTAGATGATAAGCATAAAAGGGTAAATACCTCAATTAAATTTAAATAAAATCACGCACAATATTTGTAACTCTCACATTACTAAAATAATAAACTCCGTGGTTTAAGTCCGCAAGCGAACTACACCGACCGAGCGACCGCCGCTTGTCGGCGAAGTTAGTGCCATCTTTAGCAGACAGAGGGTGTCCCGTGGTCAGCGCAACGAATCCCCAAGGCCATTAATTTCGGTTTATATTTGTGAAAATTTCAATATCAGCATGAGCATCGAAATTTCATGCCCGCGTAAAAGCCGTCCTGAAATTCAGGATTCAGAAATATTGTTCCACAATAAAAACAGCTTCATCGTGTGTCGCATTCCTGAATATAAGCATTAATCATTAATAAGCAACAGACACCGAGAGAACTGAAGGCACAGGGTGATAAGATAAGCTGCCTAGATCATTATATCACAGATAATCCAAAATACACGAGGACACATCACACAGGATAGTCATAACATTATTATACACGATGAACTGGGAAGGACTGAAGTTCCACAAGGACATTTTCGTGGAATATCCATCGCAACAAACTACACGTACTTGAATCCTTCCTGAGAAGCTAATCCTTGCTCAAATGTTTATAGGACTTCGAGTCCTTTACTGAACCCATGGGTTCATTATCGTATTGACAAGAGCTTGCCACTGATCCTTACCCTGAGCCAGATGAATCCAATTCATACTCGCCTGTCCTATTTCTTCAAGCTCAATTTTATTACCGTAGCCTGATCCACGTGCACGCATTCCTAGTGTTCTCCTTCCGTCAGGTCTTGAACAAATGCGTGCTATGCGCCATACCCATCCAGTCCTCTTTGAACCAAGATTACGGCTCTCTAGGTTTATATTCGAACCCGAAACTTCTTCGTTTCAATACATCGCGCTGCCCTGTGTACCGGAGTTGTCACTTATTGCAGACATGCACTCGCTCCATCTGAGGTTGTACACTTTTCTTCAAGAGTTGCTTATGGAGACCGGATAATGCATTAAGGCTATTCGTTTCAGGGCGTTTACTGTGGGAGGGGGGTTGTGTCAATGACTACGCGGACGTTTGTCCCCCGCCAATCCTAAAGTCAGCTCGTAACTTGGGTGGCATAAGTTTAGGAGAGCACACATGTCTGTCGAGAACTGTTTTCTTAGTATCGAAAGTTTCCTTATAAGCACCAAGGTTGGGGCAGGATTTCGCTAAGAGGGTAAGGTTTTATAGGGAAGGGTGAAGCAATATGTTAGTGGAGTGTTTGCAGAGATGGGGGGGGGGCAAAGGAAGCAAACAGAAGGGCGCAATATATTATTAGAACAGCAATCGAGGGCGATTTCCATAAGTCTACCAGCACTATCATCACAGCAACCCGCGATAGAGTCATTCAGTGACTCGCTGTCTGCCGACCGGCCACATAGATGGCGCCACTGTATCACGCGACAACTTGTTTTCTCCGATATTTTGCAGATCATCGGTGGGAACAAAACGACAGTAGCGGGGCGCGCTTGTACATTTCTATATTAACCTCATGGCATGCGGTTGTCTGCAGTTGATAGTTCTACACTAGCATCATCATAATTTTATGCTAACCTCGTCTTTCATGTCCTTCCTCAGTTGATCCCTCTATACCGAATTCATAGCACAACGTCTTCTTCAGCTGATAGTGCCATACAAGTCTCGTGCCACTTGATCTTCGATTAATAATTCTTTTGAAATATACTCTTACATGTACACCAATTTCTAGGCAACGGGTCGGTAAACAAGTTCCCGCGAAGACAGATTCTTGGTAAACAGTCCGATGCTAGGTCACGCAACAATAGGACGAATGTTTATAGCTCGTTGCTAGGTAACAATCAACGCGCCAACTGGCGAGATAGCTCTCACGTGATTTGTATTCAAGGTGGTCCACGCTATGCCCAGTGCTATGCAACAGAACTGTAAACACGTTTACAATAATATGCGTTTTCTATGGAGTCCGTTTATAGGGGACAGTGAAGGTTGTTTACGGTCACTCATAGCTGAGAAGCCATGAGTCAAGGATACGAAGCCGTCACGGAAGAGAGTCCAGGAGGGTTCAGCAGTTGAGAGTACAAGGACGAAAATGGAGCATGTCCTTAGGGAATTGTGAAGATTAATTGAGTACAGATTAGGACAGAGGAGTACAGAGTGATTGAAGACGAAATAACAAGAAAACATCATAGTGACTTGAAGGGCTAGTTTCTGTGTTGAGATCCGTTGCCAGGAGACGACTAGTGAAGACGGACAATCCTAATGCGTGTGCAGCGGTGAACTGGAAACTGTGTAAATCAGCAAAAGCGCTATAACTGAGTGTGACTGAGAGACCTGTAACCAAGGTGCTAATAAATCCAAACATCTGAACTAGAACCCGTTATTTTCGTCACGCGTACCCTCTTACACGTGGCAATATGTACAAAATGGATGCATTATGAGGATGGAATGTCATCTATTCAGATAACTGCTGAAAGGATGTTACACTAAATACACATAATCATAAAAAAAGAAGCAAAACAGAGGGCAGAAAGAGAGGCAAGAATAAAGCACGGAGGGAAAATTTACAAGAAATGAAAGGAAGAAATAGAGAAAAGAAGAAACGACGTTGACAGGATATATCATTTAGCATTTGCTGAAATAAGCGAGTGAATATGCACCCATCTCCAATTGCTGTCCTCACCAGGGCCAGGAAAAACTTCAGTCATTAGGGTGTTACGTTCTGGATTCGAGCCCGGCTTGCCGCTGCTTCAAAATGTTCAGAAAATAAACCGATAAGCTGGCAGAGGTGTAGGAGAATTTTCTTGAAGAGCTCACGTTACTTCATTGAGGGTTAAGGTGGGCCCTACGGGTTTAAAGAATTCATAACCACGTCAATCTGTTTTTCTCACGCTCCAATTCAAAATGGCTGCAATTACATTCCCATGAATAGTTAAGCACTACGGCCTGTAATTTGTTTTGCTCACGAGGACGAACTTATTGACACGCTGATGGATTACCTCCAACCAGCACAAGTAAACAGCGCCAACAAGCCAATAGCAGCTGGGCTAAACAGAGACTTCCAAACGTTTGCTGTTGTCAGCTTATTTGATTAATGTTATCTGAGTAGGCATAACGTGCTTCTTACCTGACCGCCATTTAGCTCAACCACTAATTCACTGGTGTGTTTATTTTATGGGGAGGGATACAAACAGGTTGCGGAAGTAACTTAAATGCTTATATCGGCACAGAGAATATGAAATAAACTGTACGTTAATATACACACCAGAAAGGGATATGTTTATTATAATATTTTAAATCAGGGGAAATTCTCTTGAGATGAAAGCTGTTAGACATGACCTCAAAGTTTCGCACAGAGGCCATGTTCTTAATATTTCGTAAAACAAACTTTCGTGCGCTATATTTGTCCGAATACGAATACGTATAAGCCGCACTTCCAAAATTATATGTCCATGAAATAAAGACATCGTTTTCTTTTGCGTTTACATAACTTTTATTTTTAAACATTATTTGTCACTTTTCTCATAAGAAGTCGGCCCGTCTCAGTCAGTGTGCTGCATACACTGCCATCTCGCGACCAGACTCACACCCATGGAACTCACTTACCTTATCCCTGATCTCCTGCCTCATCTTCTCACGTTCCTCCTCCATTTTCCGGTGTTTCTCTTTCCGCCTCTCTTCGGCCTCTCTGATGGCCTCTTGCCGCTCTCTCTCGGCCTCCTCCTCCTTCTCCTTGTCATCACCGTCATCATCGCCTCCCACCGCACCTGCAACAGGAGGGGCGTCATCATCGGGTGCTCGTGCACCGACAGTTTCACTTCCCCGTAAAATTATCAGTTGAAAGGACCGTGAAGCCCACAAAATCTAAATATTGATTTTGACATATTTACATATTTGCAGCGCATATAATCTTGTTTTGGAATGCAGTCTGTCGTATGTCTTTACGTACAGCTGTGCGCCTCGCTAGCGCCAGAACGGTTGGACCGATTTTATTAACATTCGGTATTTAAGAGTTTTTCCACCGCAGTTCAGTGTGCGCTGAATATGAATACTGGAGCTCCAAAAATGTGAGCCATTCATAGTAGCCCCTGCTTATAAAATTATTTTCTTGAAAAATGCTGCACTGATTTTGAATAACGTTTCAGCAATTTATATAAATTATCTCCGTGAATAAAACTCCAAAGGTGCTTTCTTCAGGAAAATTATGATACGCTCTCTATATGAAGAAGCCTGTGCAGTATGTTTGTGCCCACTTCTGGCGCTTGCGCTGTGACACTTCCCATGCTGCAAGTAATGCTAAGACGCCTATACAGACATCGATAATATGCGGAAAGATAAACAGAATATTGAAGAAGAAGAAGAAGAAGAAGAGAGACAAATTCGTGGCAGTAGCTACACATATATATGTTTAAACCAATGGCCAAACTCGTCACTTTCGACAGAACAAACCCCCAGCATTATTCTGTACAAACGCCTGTCGGATAGTGTTTAGACTACCTGCCACACAACCGTGCCGAAGAAGTTGCCGCATATGAAGGGCACTAAGACTGCGCGGAGCAGTACAGTTTTCAACGGATGCGCGAATTTATTCTGTCTTCAGTTGCGATCCATTACACTGGCTTAGGAAAACAGGATTCAGGTCTTGATATTCAGAGTGACCTGGCATTAAAATACTGGTGATTTGTGATGCTGTAGCTTTATGTGGGCGTGAAACTTGATCTCTCACGAAAATTTATATTTTCTGGGAAGTGACGCCGTGCAGCCTTGCAGACGTTCAACCAGACTACACGGCGTCACACCCCAGAAGACAGTACTCTTCATAACCACCGATGTGGAACCCTCGAACGCAGCATGCAACTCTCGCCTTAAGAAAAACATACGGAAAATGCGAACCGACTGCTCGGGAATGATTTAGAATAGAGGAATTAACAACGGAGAAACGAAAAGATTCATAATTCGCAGTCTTCAGCTAATATTAACATGGTGATGACTGAATAAAGGAGAATGAGGTGGAGGGACATGTAGAAAGAATGGTACTATATAATGAAGTCACGTCTTGAGCGTAGATTTGAGGATAGATCAAAACGAATCCGACGAAGAAGGACGAAAGGGTTTAAACTGGGACTGTCCCTCGCCCCCAAAGGGCCCTGGCAATGTATTGCGGAGTTTCTGGTTTTGACCGTCGTCGTTAATGGCCAACGTCCCAAAATTCAGTAATCCCAAGTGGATTAATCTCGCTCAGAATCAATTTCGGTGGCGAGCTACTGTGAGTATAAGCCGCGCCATAGCTCAAGCGGTTAGTCGCTGGCTTCCAAGCGGCGGCCTGGGTTCGATCCCGGGTCTCGTCAAGTGGGATTTGTGGGGGACAAAGTGGCGCTGGGGCAGGTTTTCCCCGAGTACTTCGGTTTCCCCTGCCAATCTTCTTTCCACCAAATTCTCCATCGTCATAATCACCCGGAACAGGTACAACAGACCAATCAGTGGCCGCCGTGACGAGTGGACCCAACTGGACTCCACCCCCCACTATGCGAATTTAGGAAGAAAAAAATTACTGTGAGCACACCAATGGATCTTCATTTTCCCAAACAGCGGGACATCTCCTGATAGTCCCTTGAAGCAACAGATGCACAAAAGGAGCACAGGGAAGAGAGTACTGACCAACAGAACCTGTAAACACTTAGCAGAAATAATTCAAATCGACTTATCTCAATTTGAGGCTGATCATCTTGTTATCACGGGGGTTTAAATGCAAGATTCTTTAGTAATGTCTCAAAGACAGAAGTGACTTGGTTTATTTAGCCTTTAAAGGAAGTGTTTTTACATGAACTCATACTTCATAGGAGGGATCAAGGCTTCCTCTCTAGCCTTATTTACCGTATCACTTGATTTACAATCTGTGGGTGAATATTCCCTTGGGGATCACGACCTACTCTATGGGCGATTTCCGAGATCTAAATAATTATTTAAAATATTGTGACATGACGCCTGAAAGCCGGAATAGTTCATTACTAAGCAACGGATCTTTAAACGGGTTCCCGCGGAAATTAACACTCACTCAACAATAAAAGAACTGCAGTTTCTATATGATGAGGGAAACTCACCTTTATAACAATAGAGGAGTGGTCACGAGGCGGCACAGCGAGGATCTCAGGCCACCTGAGAGAATAACAATTGAGGGTGTCTCTTGAGATGGCAGTCAAAGATGATGGAGAAGAGACTGTAAGAAGGGAATTAGTTTGCGATTTGAAGAATTTATGCGGGCTGTAGATACAGTGAGACTTTCAGAGATACGTTGCCAGGATACACCAAATGAAGGTTGAGAAAACCCAGTGTGTCCTAGTGATTTCTACTGAGGAAATCAGCAAGTGTTATAATCACTTGCAGTTACGAGTTGAGTGCAGAAGTGTAATAAATATAAACATTTAATCCAAACTCTTTCTATGGCTATGCGCATTACGTCCTCCACGGAAGTGAGAACAGCCTGCGGAAGAATCTGGGAAGTAATTCAGTTACTTTGAATCGAGATGTTGATGCTATTCGGTTGCGACCTGTGCGTGTCAAGCACATTACACATACAGACACACACAGAGGGACTTTTTTTTTTTTGAAAATGGAATTGTCCTAACTCCCATCAACAGGAAACTGAAAGACGTATTTTTCGTCATCGGGCTCCCACGTAAGTTCATTTCAACAGGATCCGAGAATACCCTCGAATCTAAATTTTACAAAAACCGTTNTTTCAACAGGATCCGAGAATACCCTCGAATCTAAATTTTACAAAAAACTGTACAACAGCATAGAAGGAGAACTGGAGGAATATAGGTGTGAATACTTCCTAATGATCATTGGGACCAGAATATTTCTTGCATAAATCAGGGGACCTAGGAGGCCTATATGTCTGGAGAACGAAATCTATAGGGAAAAGTCTGAGAGAAAGTCACACGTTGTAGTCCCTACAAAAATCCATCTATTCTATGTATCAGGGCGAGAAAGAGACCTTGTAAATACGTCTTATTTTCCTACCGCTGTATGAGAACTGAAAACGCAATCTGTCAGCTTGTAATGAGGCTGTAAGGTTCGCCTCACGTACTGAAGATGACGGACCCTCGTTCTCATAGCAGATGGAGTGCACAGCCTAACTTACATGATCAGTAAACCTCGAAAGTGTAGACCAGATCGTAGTTTCCTCATTGTCTTACTGATTTAATGTTATCAATTTACATTCCACATTATACATACACAGAGTATGGTAAATCAATGTGACTGTTTGTTGTCAGTGAAGAGTTATATTGGTAACACTGATACTAAAAATGAACAGAGTGTGTTTTCACTGCAGAGCGTTGGCAAAGATAGAAAATTCATATAGGAATTTCAAATCATGTCAGGCATACATGGAAATTGAGAGCAATTAATCTTACAAATCCCTCCGATGTAAACAGTGAAAAATGAACACAAGGGCCAATATCGCTTAAAGAAATCGAAACTGCTCCTCCATATTTTTCATGCCGTCTCTGGAATGTTTCGCCCTTCCGCTTATTTAGGTATTTCTCGTGCATCTTACAAGTTTGGGTTTCGAGCTGTCTCTCTGTGTATTCTAGCCGCTTCCTTCGAAATATTTTATTACTGTATTAATATATGCTGTTTCGAGGTATTCTCCAACATCATTATGATTTTCACGTGATATTTTCTTTCAGCTTCCTCGCCTTTTCATATGCATAAGTACTTACTTCCTTCATGGACTGATGCTGACAGCAATGAATGATGCAATTTTGAGCCTTATGACCATCGTGATATATCCAATATTTTTTTTCTGCGTAACAAAGCACAGCATAAAAATAACATAACTGTATCATAGCAACGTCAGACGACTGAGCAAATGGATGAGGCAACTACAAGCAGAGGTTCTTACAGCGGTGTCCACAAAGATTTCTGTCTTCCGAGGCATAACGCCGTGTATTTCGATAAAAATCAAAGATGTTTCGGAGGAATATATTGCCTCAATTTTCAAGGGCGAAGGTTAAGACAAGCAGGAAGGAAGCAGAGAACTACAAATAACCTATAGTGTTTAAAGGGGAACTGTAAGGGGACATAACGGCTGTCAGAAACGCAATGGAATCAAACAGAAATGGATAATTAACTGGATTTCCACAAGGTGATATTTGTTGTTTAGTATTTAAGGATAAGTGGATCAGTTTCTGATGAAGCCGAGATGGACCAGTGATACAGTGGCTACTCTATGGGGAGGATAACAGGGGAACATGATTCGATTCTCGACACACCCAGAAATTGTTCCCTTCTCCACAGTGTCCAGACCGGCTCTGGGCCCTTCTAAACCTCGTATCTGGTCGGTACTTGGGATTATTTCCTGGGGGTAATACGACCGGAACGCGACGCTTTTCATCCAACTAGGGCGTAAAAAGGCTAAGAGTGCGTGGAGTTACATAGTCACGCCCTCATACATATTTAGGCCATGGTGACTGTTTAAACACAGGGAAAAAATAAATTATTTGTTGGAAGCAAATTCGTGTCAAGTGAAAAGAGCTCGATGCAGTTTCGAATGCAGTTATAATAAACGCAGCGAAAGGCAACAGTTTCCATGTTACGAACGAGATGCATCGTTTTGATACCAAACCCTTCATTGTATATCTTTCATGTGTAGCAACATCAGGGAGAACAAATCGCTCCTCCTAGCCCTTGACACTTTACACCAGTCATCACGAGCGTGTCGTAGACTGGAAATATAAAACAGAACAGTAACCTGTTATAA